AATTCAATATCCCGGTTTACCTGTTTACAGTTAAAGTTAAATTTGAACATCCCTAGAGATAATAAACTTGAACATCCCTAGTTTGAATTCTTTCACTGTTCAGTAACCAGTATTACCCTTGACACTGGTTAGAGCACAACAAGCGGGATGACGAGCAAATGTTAAAATCTAGTTTGTAACTAGAACCATGTTACCGTAACTTACTTCTATACTCTCTCTACGCACTCGCCATACGCAAACAAATCCTTTCCATGAAACTAATGCGTGAAGGAAATTTGCACTGTGCAGTCAGTTATAGGTCACAAATTCATAGTATAGCTTCAATTCATCATTCTAGATCTAGAATCAAGGTTTTAAGATGGTTTAGACATCTCGATTTCTGAAAGTGGGAGTGCATGATGTTAATATTGATACTAATCATCCTAGCCCTCTTCTACTACTACAGGAAGGAACACTCCCATAAACCTTAAAATTATTAAAGTTATGGAACTTTTAAAAGAAACTGAACATATGCCTCCAAATCTAATTTTTAATCCTTAAATCATTGCAACCTACTGAAGTAAACTTTTGATGTTTGATTTCAAGGGTGAGACATCAGGGTGAGATTTTATGAACAACGAGAAGTAGTTAAACAGCATGACTTGGTTAAATGGATAAAGCACATCACTAGGTCAAGCTGAAGAAAAGTGACCCCCNCCATATTTTTTTGGTTTATTTAAACTTTTTTATTTCATTTTTGGTTATTCTATGAAAGTGACTTGCACATTTCTTTCTTATAAGAAACAATGGAGAAATTCACAGAAATAATCACTTTTTAAGTAAAAAAAAAGATGATAACTTTCACTGTGGTAAAATATTAAAATTTAAAATCCTCATTCTTTTTGTCAGAAAATATTTGTTTCTTCAAATTTGTTGGTTAAATCGTTTCATCCTTAATCTTTACTAATGAGGTTTTTCTCAAATATGTCGGTCGGGTGGATTTTTAGAATAATTATCTCACAATTTAAAATTTTGTAGGTTGAAAAAGAATTTATTACTTTGGTGAAAAGTTATTTTAAAGCAATTAGTTGAAGTTTCATTTTCATACATTTCTCAAATCTGAAATGTACTGATTCTTTTCAAGTGAATTATTTATTCCATTATTTGATTTTCTGTCACATTAAATCTCAGATACTATTCAATAAATCATTTGATTACCAATGACAATGACAAATTTATAATATGGGAATTTGCTTGTTAGAGTTTGGAGAAAGGAATACAATAACTTGCCTTCTCCAGGGCTATGCCTCCCCTTCCTTGGTCACTACACAATATTCTTGGAAACAACTGAACCACTCAAAAGAGTTTGGAATCTCTACAAGAAATATTCACAGAAAGGATTAATGCTGATGACTGTTTTGGGACAAAATATAGTTATTGTTGGAGACTTTGATACTCTTAAACAACTATTTAACAATCCTGATGTTCAAAACAGGGGTCATGGAGACTACAAAAAATGTCAGATAGCTGGAAAAGTTTGTATTGAACGAGGAACTAAATTACAGCCTCTTGGTGGTATTTTTCTCAGTCAAGGCAAGATTTGGTCCGAGCAACGGAGATTAACAGTTAAAACACTCAAGGATTTTGGGTTTGGAAAATCCAGTATGGAAGAAATTATCCAAGATGAGTTTAAGCAGTTTATAAACTATCTCCAACAGTTAAATCCTGCAGAGCCCAGGGAGATCACAGGGCTCTTTACTCTGCCTATTTTGAATTCCCTATGGAAAATCACTGTCGGAGAAAGTTTTGCTTATGACAACCCTAAACTAGAAAGAATTCATGAGATGCTTGGTGAGTTTGTTAAAAATATTGTGCATATTTCCACCTTTTTAGAAATCATGTATCCATGGATCTTCGACATTTTCCCCAACTTTCTCAACCGCCAATCAAACATAAACATTCACAAAAGTCTTGCCAGCATGATGCTTGAGAGTATAGATCACCATAGGAAAACACTAGACGAAAACTCACCAAGGGACGTCATTGACACAGTGCTCATTGAGATAGAGAACACTGAAGATGAGTCCTCCAGTTTTTATAAAGAAACTGGATACGCTAATCTTGTAAATACTCTTATTGATCTGTTTATGGGTGGGTCTGAAACAACAGCCACCACACTGACTTGGGCAGTCCTTTACATGGTAAGAGAACCTCAAGTTCAGCGAAAGGTGCAAGCAGAGTTGGATGCGCTAGTGGGTTCAACAAGACCAATAACCTTGGCGGATCGACCAAAGCTTCCTTACACAGAGGCTGTTATGATGGAGATCCAGAGATGTGGAAACATTGTTCCTTTTGCTCTATACCATATGTCAAGTATACCAATAGAGATAAACGGCCTTTCTATACCAGCCAACACTATGATATGTCCATGCATTGCTGAGATACAGAAAGGTAATGGCTGGAAAGATGGGATGAGCTTCAGACCTGAGAGGTTTCTCGATGAATCTGGAGGGATCAAACCCAATGAACTACTTATTCCATTCTCCATTGGGAAAAGAAGGTGTCCTGGTGAGACATTTGCAATGATGGAGTTTTTCCTTTTCTTCACAAACATTCTTCTTCACTTTTCCTTCCTGCCAGAGGCTGAAGGACAGGTTCCAACAGAAGAATATTTTGCAGGGTTAACTGTTATTCCGAAACCTTTCAAATCTTTTATTATGCCAAGAACTCAAAATTAAAACAATTAAGAAGCTATCTAATTGTTATAAGGACTGTAAGTCAATTTCAAGTAACCCTGGATGCAAAGATGACAATGCCCGATTTACAGCGGTACCATTGAACCTATTTTCTGGTCAAAAATGTGGAAAATATAGTCTTTATTTAGACTCAGAAGTAGTTAGTTTCTGATAATGTCTCCATTGCATCCTAAGAGCAAGAAATGTGCAATTCAGTTTTGCAGAGAATCCGTAAATGAAAATAAACAGTTTAAAGAAACTAATTTAAATCTAAAACAAGTTTATGGGATTTCTTTTTTACAGAGACGTTTTCTCAACATCTGAAGCTATTTAAAATATAAGCTTAAGCTTTTTTATCAACATTTGTAGAAACCTATCTATTTGCATTTTAGTACAAAGGAAATAAGTTTTTGCCATAAAATTTTTTTTTCTAATCTCTATATCTTTGCAACCTGAGGGTGTAAACTTTCTATATTTATTTGATCTAACGAAATTTACAGTTAGAATATATGTGTAAAGTCTACGTTTCAAAGATATGGGGATTACAAAATTAGAGTTTGATGCAAAGACTCAATTCCTTTTGACAACCTATTGTTTAAATGTAAAAATGTTATCGAGCGTTCAAAAATAAAAGTATTTGAATCCTTGGTTTACTTGGCCGCAAAAATCTTAAGAAGTAAAGTGTATTCATGAAAAAATATATACATATGTAATTGTCATTTTAATTAAATCATCACTACACATACAGGATTGCCCAAAAACAATGAGACTGTAAAGACGACCATAAACTCTTAAATGAGATCTAGACAACTCTAAAAGTAAATCATCAAATTTTGAGACAGTCTCACCTTTAACGTGTCGCAACACCTTGCCTTTGGTTTTAACTTTAATAAATTGCTTATGCTTTTTTATAGCCCCAGACATATACTTTTTAAAATTACAACATCATTGTTTCTAGCTTAAATTTAAAAGGATCATTTGGCAAGAACTGCTTAATTTTTTCGTGAGAACGTGGACATCTTAGTTCTCAGTGTCTTGAAATATAATGATATCATGATTGAATTAAATCTTGGTTCTCATTACGTCTTGACTTATAATGATATCATGGTTGAATTAAATCTTATTTTTTTGACATATGATGATATCATGGTTGAATTAACTCTTGTGTTTTTGACATTAAATGATATCATGGTTGAATTAAATCTTGGTTTTCAGTGTCTTGACATTTAATCATATCATGGTTTAATTAAATCTTGTGTTCTTGACATATAATGATATCATGGTTGAATTAAATCTTGTGTTCTTGATATATAATGATATCATTGTTGAATTAAATCTTGGTTCTCAGTGTCTTGGCAAATAATGATATCATGGTTGAATTAAATCTTGTGTTCTTGACATTTATAGATATCATGGTTGAATTAAATCTTGGTTTTCAGTGTCTTGACATATAATGATATCATGGTTGAATTAAATCTTGTGTTCTTGACATTTAATGATATCATGGTTGAATTAAATCTTGTGTTCTTGACATATAATGTTATCATGGTTGAATTAAATCTTGTGTTCTTGATATTTAATGATATCATGGTTGAATTAAATCTTGTGTTCTTGACATAGAATGATATCATAGTTGAATTAAATCTTGTGTTCTTGACATATAATGATATCATTAATCTTGTTTTCTTGACATATAATGATATCATGGTTGAATTAAATCTTGTGTCTCTGAACTCTCATCCTTGTAAGTGACCCTGCATATCTTTATAGAATTTTGAAAATGTGATTTTTCTTCGACATTGCATTTATGATCAAACAATTCAGAATAAACCATCAGTTTATATGTTTAAACATTCCATAATAAGGAAGAAAAAAAGTTTTTGCCTACGGGCCTAATATAAAAAATTCAAACATGTATTCATTTTATTATTTAAAAAAAATTGAAATTGAAAAATCGTTTTACTTTTGTGCATGATTTTTACTCGAAAATTTACATCGAACTTGCACAATTGATAAATACATATATATATAAATTATTCGTACATTTACAATGAATTAGATTTCTAAGTTAGCATGTTACCGAAAAAATACGATCAACCCATAATCTGTAAAAATCATTTCTTTTGAATATCAAAATTAAAAATAAAATGTTGTAATTGTAATGTCCAAAATAGTATTTCATATTCCAAATAAAAATTTGTTGATAATTCTTTTTTTACCTAATTTTTTATTGATATATTCAAGTGTGATTAGTATAAATGAAATTGATTAAAAACAGGTGTTTTCAACACATGTACCGGTGGTGTATATAATTCTTAATTTGCCATCAATGTAATAGGTGGAAATATGATTTTAAAATAAATCGATATGTTCAAAGACTAAAATTTGATATTGATGCACAGAAACGAATTTTTACAACATTTCTAAAGTATTTTGTCCACTGTTGTTTATTAATATTTTGTTATATTTCTATTTTTACTCTACAAAAATATGTGAGAATAAAATTTATTGAGGAAAATAAAGCCCAGAATTGGGCCCCTGTGCTTAAAGCTTGTGGGATTAATGAAATTGCGCGAAGTCATAAAGTTCATGTGAGACTAATTCAGATGAAATTTGTTGCACTTCTTATATAATGACATTTAAATTTACATAGAAGAGCAAATATTGTTTAAATCCAACTTAAATCTTTGAATATGAATATGAATATAAACAGGCTGGGGGGGGG